TATATGTGTAGTCATTTAGAAAGGAAAATGCTTTGCTTAAGCCAGATAAAGTCTGAAAATGTGTTTTTTTTTTTTCAGTTTTATATATCACATACATCTTTGAATTTTTTATTGTTTTTCTTAAATTTTTATAGACCATGAACTGAAAATAATTATGAGTTGCAGCCTCAGTCCAGACGGTTGTGATACAGCCATCGAGACCAGGGAATGACTTTTAGGCTCATCTCTACAGTGAATGTTTTCAGTAATGATAAACAAATGTACAGTACAGGGCCGTTTGCATTTACAGTGGAGGTCATGGGACCATGCTGTTAATGTGGATTTCCTTAATGGTGCTTTGTGGCAAACACATAAGCTTTCACAGGGTCGACCCTTTACATTGGTCTGGTGATTAAATAGGTTGTGCTGATACTATCTAGGACACAACATTGTCAGCGGTAAACTTGATTTAGTGGGCAGATGTTTGTTTTGCAAATGGAAGCAGACAGCTGTGCTGTTGCTGGGCAATAGGATAATCTGTTGCTGGTCAGATTACTGTCCGCCCACCAGTGCATCCAGTGCAGTGACTGTGATTGTTTTTTTTTTCTTTCTTTGAGACAGTGCAATATTGTCTGTGTTTACATAATGGCCTTGACCCTAAGTTAACGGTGAGCCTCTGACCTCTTTATTTATACTGGAACTGCACAGCTAAACTACGTTGTACAATGTTGAGATGGCACATATCTGAATAATTTACAGTATATTGAAAACACTGATAATAAAATGGCGTAGTCTCAATAAGAAATGTACACAGTGCTTTTATCTAACATGCTTTACAATTAGTGTCATATTCACATATTCACATACGCACACAGGCCGATGGTAGCAAGCTACCATGCAATGCACTGGCCTCACCATCTGGAATCTGCAATTTTAGCATTGACGTGTGAACAGGAGGAGCCAGGAGGTTGAACCACTAACCCTGCCATTAATGGACAACTCTATTATCCATATTTACTTATAAAAGTTTTTAAAAAGTTGGATACCACCAAAGCAGTAAATGTCTGTGCAGCTTCACATTTTATGAAAGTGTAATTCCTGAAATGTTCCCTTTTTCTACTTTGATAACTGATTTATATTTTTGAGGTTGAGAACCCAGATTCTCTCTCTGCGATGCACATTTGTCATCTTTTTTTGGATTCTACATATTCATAAATTGGCTCTTGCGGATAACATTCCTATAGATTTTGTTTTCTAAAGATATGCATGTTTTATTTGTATTAAGTGACAGAAAATACATCGGTAGTGGTTGATATGGAGGGTAAGTATTGCATATTTCAGCTTCAACAAGTGGTGATATTGGTGTCACAGGTGGCTGTCCTCTGGTTATGGCCATGGTTAGGTGAGCTGAGCAGGGGGGAGTGTTTGGTCTAAAGACAGTCAGCCTTTAGAGTGCAGGCTGCCGGCCTGCTCTCAATCTGCTGAGAGATGACATTTTCTGCTGATGTTGCCCTTTTTTCAGCCTTCAGCAGCTCTAACTGCACCTACTTTGGTTTTGAGAGCAAACTCAGCCCATTCTGAGCCAAAACAGTTTTTCTCATCTGCCTAAAAATGACAAGCTTGCTTTTCATTTCAAGTTCATTTCTAGTTCAAAATATTCAGTAGATTTTCAGCACTTGTAGCTGTTATTCTTTAAATCAGTTAATGCTGACAAAAAAGTATAGTAACTACTATTATTAGTAGTAATATTACTGATGAGATTAAAGCTTACATGTTTGTCCACTTTTTCAACAGTTCTGCATACGATATGAGTACTGGTTTGAAGGTAGCCGTGAAGAAGCTCTCTCGGCCATTTCAGTCCATCATCCATGCCAAGAGGACGTACCGAGAGCTGCGGTTGCTTAAGCACATGAAACATGAAAATGTGAGGAAACTTGTTTCTCTTCCCTTTGTTCTGTCTGCTGTTGCACAGGCGTGAAAAAAAACCCACTCTTGTTTGCGTTTGCCTATGTAATGCCTCACAATGTGTTTGCATAAAGAAAATCTGCAGTTTAATTCATTTTAGTTGTCCATTTTTATTAACTTGACAGTGGCTTTCATATTTTTGCAGGTGATTGGCCTCCTAGATGTTTTCACCCCTGCTACTTCTCTGAAGGAATTCACTGATGTGTAAGTTGTTTGTTTAGAATTATTATTGTTACTTAAGTTTCCCTCTTCCCTTCGGCTCGGGGTCATCTCAGCAACACTTTTGTGATTAAGATAAAAGCAGTGCTCAAGAAAGTGCAGCCTGTAGTTTCTCGGCAGCAGACAATCGTAGCTGTGGCTGGGAAACACCTGGAAACTGGCCAGCTGACTAACATGCTGGAACATTTCTTAGATTCTCCACTCTGTTAGTTATTCGCTGTGTGGCTGCTACAAGAGTTGTTTCACCACCAGCTTCCTTCCCTTTGCTTCCTGCTTGCTGGACTTTGTGAAACATACGTACTTGCTGGCAAACAGGTAGTTATTGTTTGTTGATGTTGAAAGTTGTCAGAAATGAGAAGTGGACAGCTAGACGGTGACTCAGTCGTCAGACGTGCGTGCGTGCTGTCTTCCCCTGTTGTGCCTCTTCTCTACAGACACTGAGTGACTTGTATCAAGTATTAAATTCTGACAGTCGACACCCAAAAAAAGAATGTGTCTCGATTGAGTACTTGGAGTCAGATTTCTCTTCCCCCACTCACTTTGGATGTCATTCTTAATTCACCCATGTATGGAAAATTATTCTGTAAGATTTTACTCATCCTAAGTATTTTGGAGCAGTCGGGGAGTGAGCAGTGCAGCACCCAGGGACCCACTTCATGTCTGAGGCCTTGGTCAACAGCATTGGCAGTTATTTCTAATTCCTAACATGCATGTCATTTTATGTGGGAGGAAATCCACAGAAATGTCAGGAGAACATGTAAACTCCCAAGACTAGAACCCATAAATCTCTAGTTCTGAGGAAGACAGTGCTCTCTGGTTTTTACCCATGAGAAACTGCAATGATTGCTAAACAGCTTAGTCATGCAACTACAGTTGAGGATATGCTGTTTGATAGGATTTCAGAACCTGTTCCAAGTGGTTGGCATATGTAAATCAACTATATATTCATATGTGCTACTAGGAAGTTATTGGAGTCACATAAATGTTAGTTTATGTGGCATTCTTTGAGTGTGTTCACCAGGAATGTACTTCCAAATGTATTACATACCGTCTGGCAGTCATTCAGAATTTTACTTCATAAGTGTATTCATTTTTTATCTTAGTGGAGCTGGTGTTTGTTTCAGGGGAGGTGGCCCACAGCTATAAAACACTGTAG